TATTCTCCTTATTCTCCAATCAGCTACACATTTGTGTTCTATTAACTGAGCGCATTGATTTTTTTACCATAAATTGAGTTAAATATGTTATGGACATCAGGTTCAAAAGGGTTAAGACATATAATTTATTATTTGAACAGTTTTTTACAGTATGTATCACATGAAAATAAACCTACAGGCTTGCGAACACTAACAGTTTCGACTCGCCTGGATGGACATGATGACAGGTGATAAGAAGTTAAAAACTTTAGGACCATCAAAATGAACTCTTTTATTTATTTATTTTTTGCCTCTAAGTGATTCTTCTCTTAATGAAATCAAGTATTTCATTCAAAACAATATTTATTACTGGGATAAGGAAAAATATACCAACGAAATGTTCTATCTATGTGATTTTCCTTATTCCAGTAAAAACCGCAAAAAAAAAAAGATATTGTTTTAAATAGAGTTTCCAAAAATGATACACGTGGTGGGCAGAGCACAAATAGCTCATTGTGTAGCTTTGTGCTTCATTACAAACAAACAAACCAATAATAGGTCTCCGTGTATACTAGACCATAGTATTTTACATATGGTGCTACTCCAGTAATATGGCCCCCCAGTAGCACAGCAGTATGTCTGCGGACTTACAACGCTAGAATCCGGGTTTCGATTGTGTAGCTTTGTGCTTAATCACAAACAAATAAGAGTGTTACGTATGCTGACACTATTTTAAACAATTTTTGAAATTAAATGCGATAGATATCCCAATTGCGTTTTATTTCCTGAAAAATATCAATCGTGTAAAATGAACTTGTTTGTAGCAAGTGTCTAAGTCATTTATTGTCTTACGATCATGGCTTGACGCAAATGAAATAGCAGAAGTTGTAGTGTCGATTGAAAAGAAAAAGAAAATAAATATTTCCTACCGTAAAGACGAATTGACCCTTCAGTTTCCCCTAGCGAGTTTTTTGCGAAACATCGGTACTTTCCGTAGTCAACAGGTTCAACGTTCTTTATGGTAAGTTTCATGTAAACCTTGTAAGTTTCTTCTCTAGTGTCACAGAAATATTTGTTGTTTGATACGATCATAGCGCCATCATCTTTTGTCCAATAGTTCACAGGCATGGGAAATGCTTCTGTGTGACATTCGAGCGTAACGTCACTTCCTAGTAACCCTCCGACCAATTGGTGAGGAATCCAAATCAGCGGTGGAACTGAACAAAATGATAGAACTTTATTACAATTGAGTTCGGATCAAATGATGATGCTTAGTACTTAAATGGTGCCGAAACTGAAGCTTGTTAAATAAAAAAAATGGCTTCTATATAATAATGAAGAACTTTCAAATGAAAAGTGATAGGTTTTTCCGACACTCTACTTAAACAATATTTTTTTAATAAAAATGATCCGACACTCTACTTAAACAATAGTTTTTAAATTCCGGGGATCCGGCATGGCCAGGTGGTTAGAGCACTCGACTCGCAATCTGAGGGTCGCGGGGTCGAATCCCAGTCCAACCAAACATGCTCGCCCTTTCAGCCGTGGGGGTATTATATGTGACGGGCAATCCTACTACTCGTTGGTAAAAGACTAGCCCAAGAGTTGGCGGTGGGTGGTGATGACTAGTTGTCTTTCCTCTAATCTTTCACTGCAAAATTAGGGACGGCTTGCGCAGATAGCCCTCGTGTAGGTTTGCGCGAAATTAAAACCAAAATCATACCAAACGTCCTCTGGTGGGTCAGACTTACAACACTAAATTCCGCAGTTGGATTACCTGTGATGGAAAGAGTGCAAAAAGGTCTCTCTATCCCTCTCACACACCGGTATTTTGTTTATATGTATAAATATATGTATGTGTACGTAAACTAGAATTCAATATAGATATCTATAATAAAACTTGATGTTTTTTTTTCTTTCAAACTGTTCTTTATTGGACCAGTTCCACAGCATCACAGGCTACTTCAGCGTAAATATTGTCCTTAGTAACTTTAATGTAACTTCAGAGTTACCCACAGTATAATTGAGGTACGTCCTTTTTATGCTACTAAGTGAAACAGGTTTGTCTACATTAAAAACAGAAATTTTCAAACAATAAAGTCACGTACCGACCCGACAGAGACGTTTACTGAAGTAATTTTGTTTAACCAAATTTCAGAAGGCCAAATTATAAGGAAATTAAAAAACTTTTTCGGCGCTCTAAAAATTCGTTTTATCTATCATTCCTTGAACACAAGACTTAAGAATAAAAAAAAACTTTGCTTCTCGCTACACTTAATTAAAACTAACGACCTTTGTTAGGCTTAGCTGTTGAACACAACAAAAAGATAGACAAAAGTTTTTTGATGAAGCATATTCATATGAAGTAAATTCGTATTTTTGTACTTTATTTTCTGCTTTGTGCTACTGCTTTTCCATGTCTTGAGATATTTTGTGTAGTGCCTATCTCGATTATTGCCATTACGCAGTTGCAACAACTTTTAAAAATACCCCCCTGGTTATTGGTTAGTAACCTAACTTTTGACAGTTTGATTGGTTAATTTCCTATTAGACTCAGTTATAGGTTACTGCGTCTTCAGTGATGTTTTTATCATCCAGGCATTCGATGCATTTAGTTTGCTGTTATAGATAAATGTCTAACCCTTGTAATTCCCAGTCGTGTTTATTTGTTGTTGTTTTTCTCTTTAGCGCAAAGCTACACATAAGGTGTTCTGTCCACCACGGGGAATCGAACCACGGTTTTCTTTTGTTTTTTTTTATTCCTATAAACTCCCAGTGGAGCATAGGGCCGCAACAACACCTCGCGAACGGAAGGTGTTGTTGCAGTTACTTGTAGCAGGTTGGTTTTTACGGGGTGGAGTTGCTAGCCCCGCGCCCAACCCTCCTCCTTTCTCATCCTGGACTTGTGACCAGACAAAGGCGGAGGTTGGCATGTTTGGTGTGACGGGGATTCGAACCTGCGACCCTCAGATTACGAGTCGAGTGCCCTAACCACCTGGCCATGCCGGGCCCGAACCACGGTTATAAGTTCTAAAATGTTATTACCGTTGACCCATTGGAAGACCAAGCATTTAAAAGAAATATCTATTTTAAACAACATGTCAACATATTGTGATAGGCTTCATAAATAGATCTAACAAGTATATATAAGTACTTTTCTAGACGTTTCGTCATACTCATAGTGCCTAATATCGATCGTTGATGGCGCCATCTGTGAGATATAAATTATGCGCCCTTCCTCAAAAAAAATGTAATCTTTCTAATGATTTACAAGATAATAAAATGTTATATTATATACTTGTATTAACTAAACATTATACGTTAAGGCCATATACACATAACATAATACGATAAACTTTCTAGGTGACAGATTAAGATGTCCCTCCTCATGAAACACATGTGGTAAAGCAATTGATTTAACATTCCCGTTGTTTTCGAAATACATAACTTATTCAGGCAGCAAATTCGAGGGGCAGACAAAATAACATCTAATGGAATATTTCGGCAATGGATAAAAACTGCTATATAGTTAATACAAGTATATAGTGTCCAAATATAACTCACTTTTAACGCAGCTAGGCCTTAACTGCTTTGGTTTACCTCGTCATTACAATATACTGAACGTGAATTAGACCCAAACACAGAAATTGAAATGATTTTCACATTAATTGGAATCTTAGATGATTTAAGAATTTTTGTAGTTTTTTTTTTTTTTTAAGTTTCACTGTATTTGCCAAAAAAAAAACAACAACAAACAAAAAATGATGTGTATTTTTTTTTCTTTTTTTGTAATGTACTGAT